AGGGACACCATGCTGGAGCAGGGGAAGAGCGTGAGGAGTCCTCCCTCTGAGGAGGAAGGAGCAGCAGAGACAACGTGTGATGGACTGAGCACAACCCCCATTCCCTATCCCCTTGCGTCGCTTGGGGGGAGGGGGTAGAGAATTTGGGAGTGAAGTTGAGCCCAGGAAGAAGGGAGGGGTGAGAGGAAGGTGTTTTAAGATTTGGTTTTAGTTCTCATTACCCTACTCCAACTTGACTGCTAATAAATCAAAGTAATTTCCCCAAGTTGAGTCTGTTTTGCCTGTGACTGTAATTGCTGAACGACCTCTCCCTGCCCTTATCTTGACCCACAAGCTCCTCGTGACACTTCCTCTGTTCTGTCCAGCTGAGAAGGGGAGTGATAGAGCAGCTTTGGTGGGCACCTGGCATTTAGCCAAGGTCAACCCACCACACATGCAAATTACCATCAACAACTACGCTTTCTGAACATAAAGGGAATAAAATAAGTGAAATTATCACACAACTGAGAGGTGTTTTGTTTTTTTTTAATGGAGGTGTGAAAACTGCTTGCCTGTGCATTTATTTTGTACTGGTAGCTGCAAACACGTTCAATACAATAAAGAGAAAGAAGCTTTAGTACAATCAAATGGCTAGTTGCTGGGGACTAAGGCTTTTCCAGCCTCCCCCGGTGCTCAGCATTATCTTCACCTTTCTAGTGCTAAATTACATACTAAACACGCTAAGGATGGTGACAGAAACACTCATGAATGCTGAATCTTCTTCCACTTGGCTACAGCACTACAAAGCACTCAACACTGCCTTGTTTTCTGATAGATGCCATCAAGCCAGGACATTTCTATGTGTTTCTGGTATTACAATCCACATGACATGGAAACCAGTCTAAATTCCACTGGATATAAGAACATCTTCTACACTGCCCCATCACTTATTTGCTGTGATAATTAAACACTGTTCCATAGCACACTACAGTCAACACTGACCTGAAGGAAGAGACAAACTACAGTCCTAAAAGTGAAACAGTTTAGATCCCAAGACCACGTCTCACAAAAATAAATTTTTTTAAAAATACAAACCTTCCAGAGCATACTCCCCATTGGGCCAGATGGCTTTCCCCCCCGCAACCCAACTGGTATGTATATATGCTTGTGTGCACATATATACGAATCTCAAAAATAGCTAAAGACATTAAGAAACACTTAATCATCTATTATTCATCTTCACTTATCAGGCTGGAACTTTGAGAACTTAAACCACAAGCTGTCTCCAGTGAGATAACCCTGTTCAAATGTTATTAAAAGATTTGTTGCTGAATTCTTCAAGCCTGCAGAGGTGTCTGCATTTACAATGACCAATGAAGAAAAAAAAAGGGGAAGAAAAACTGCATCAGTTCTGATGAAGATTGGTGCAATGAGTTTAGTAACTGGACCACAATGACAGGCCCTTTCTTGCTAGCAGTTACAGTGAAAGAGAATTTAAAAGAGGTTTTGAAATGCAGTTTGCTGTTCTGATTTAGTGAAGTTTTCAGAAGTTTGGTGACAGCCTGCTCATGTAAACTAAAGGATCCTCAACTGCCTTCTCAATCACAAATAAGTATATCCCTCACATAGCATCTTTGAGCAGTATTTCAAAAGCAAGAGACAAGCTCTGAGTTGCAAAGATGATTCAGAGTAGTGGGTGAGGAATGTAAATTCCATTTTGCAAAACATTTGGTCTACCAAGCCCTCTATTGCCTCACAAGACATGTCAGGTTCTGTCTTGAACAGGGATTCTTTACCAGCTAAGAGACCATGTTTATAGGAGTTAGGTTTAAATACTGCCTGAAGTGCTTATACGTTAACAGTCTTGCTGGGCAGGTCATGTAGGGCTGATGTCTCTTCTCGCTTCTAGCTTGCCTTGGAGTCAAGTAAAAGCTGTGGAAACTCAGGACTGCTTTTCTTCTGCAAGACCAATGTATTAAATTTGCTAGAAACTCCACCTCTGAAGAAAACTGAAATATATACTTTAAAGAGGAAATTGGCTAACAAATTCACCAAACAATTGGCAATTACTTCTGAAGCACAGTGGAAAGCTGGGTAGTACTTGGATGGAGAAGAAAGTGGAAAAATGAGCAAACTATTCCATCTTCAAGAAAGGACAAAAGGTGGTAAAAAGCAACCAACCTTCTGGCACAGGAAATCCTGGCCTACTCAGAATAATGTAAGATTGTGGAGGGAGACAGCCAGTAAAACTCTTCAACAGAATACCTTGCTAAGCAATTTAGGAAATACCTTTTTTCACAGACCTCCCCGCCCCAAAGTAAATCCTGTCTAATAACTGGACCGAACAAAACCGCTGGCAGAGTTTCCAGCTGAGAGGGAATGACTCAACACAACCTACCAGGAGGACACCTCTACATTATGATTATATGCAAAAAAACCAGCAGAATTTGTTCCTTTTTCCTGGCAAAATACCAACACAGGTAACCGCATTCCTCCAACTTGAAATATGTTTGCAATTGTCTGACTGGTGTGTTCCTTCCCACTTCATCTTCTGTGTAGTAATGTTGCTAGCCATTAGATAGCTAGTATTTGCTGCACCTGTACTTAAGCAAAATAATCTATTTCCGAGTTGTTGTTAAGGATGCAGCTCTGTAAAAAGATTTACACTTGCAAAAAAGTTATTCACAAATAGCTGATATAATTTAAGGGAGTTGTATCATAAATATTTACAGTAACACAATGCCTGAATTCAACCGGAAGGTAGAAATCAGTTAGAAAGATATTATTTAAAATACCAACCAACAGTACAGGACATTACATCACCCTGTCTAGTTAGTACAACATTTTAAATGAGAAACCGCATTCCACCCCCTCAGATCACAGACCCAAAGACACTCCTATTTTAAGCTAGAACATGAGAACAAGGAGTTTTCCATTGAAGCAGAAGCTTCCCAAGGTCTCCACATCCCTATACCAAGACTCCTTCTCCAAGAAAGAAGCACAGCAACCTCTCTAGCTCAACAATTATTCTGAGCCACAGGATGAGATTTAAGAAAGGATGTTTCATCACATTCAAAACAGGCACAACCCTTCAAGAAGAGCTGAATGAAGAAAAGAAGATCTTCAATAAGCCTATCACAGGTGATTTCGATGGCCAATGAGTTATTTGCCACAGAAGCCAAATATTTGTCTAACAAAACAAAGTTCATGAATTTTGCTAAAATGTTCCAATAAGAGAACTGCTCAAGTTACAAAAGACTTAAGACATGCAGGTTCCTACTACAGGATCTTCTGATCCCATTAAGCAATCACTGACGGCAATTGACATTAAGTAATTAATTTTGTAACTGAAATGTTTCTGGTTCTTGTAACTTGAGGAAGGGTGTCAGTAAACTTGCAACAAGAAAACTGACCAAAACACACATGACATTGTTTTGTGGTAATTCTAGCTGTCACTCTTTGTGCAAAGGTCCCAGATAAAAAGTTTGTCATCTGCAGTTGCCTGCGAAAAAAGTTTTCAAGAGCATCAAAGCCAGATAAACCCAAAATCTCAAATCCAGAATTTACAAAACGGAGATGGGACAAATATAGTAATGGGCATAAAATGTAATTCTACAGTCCATACATAAAAACTTGCACATAAATAACTAATTTAAATGTATGTAACCTTTGTTTTAAGAGGAAATTCCACAAGTAGTAGTAAAACAGTGTCAAATGTAAAAGGAAATAATACAAGTTAAAAGGAAAGCAGGGAGAAGTCTCTTTAAAACCTACACAAAGATAGAAAGACAAAGTACTGGTATATTTAGCAGGACCATCTTCAGGACTTCTGGACTGCAAAATCAAATGTTGATTAAATAAGCAATCCAAAATTCAAATGGCATTTTCCTCAAAACACTGCTGTTAACCAAACCTTTCAGAGGCGAGTCATCTTCTCATCTGTGGATTACACAGCTGTGATTAACAGCCTTTGAAAATGAAACAAAATATTTTCATTTTACCTCTAACGCAGCTTGTAATTTGCTCTCACTATTGCTAAAGCACCTGAGACCACAGGATAGCACTCGGTTGTACTTAATACCACTAAAATCTACAGTTTAAACTGTCAGAGCCATTTTCTAAAGTCTTGAGTCTTTCAATCAGGACTCAAAACCATTCTAAAAGAGCACAGCAATTTGCTTCAACTGAAGAGATATGCTGATATTGTACGGCTTAGTGTCATATTGCCAAACCCTACACAATACTAGATGATATCAAATCAGGCACTGATCAGCTATGGCGTCTACAACACTACTGATACATCCCACACACATCGCTGCTTTTCTTTACTCTAACACCCCTCTGCTATACTTTCACACAGAGTTGAGCTAGTGCTATATGCTTAGCATGCGTGCCCCAGCATGGGAAAGGGTCAGAAATGAGTCAGAAGTGGTCATTTCCCCCAGCTGAGAGTGCTCCTCCATCCAGAAAGTAGAAGAGCGTAACTGCTTTGCATTAGAAATCAGTGGGAGAGTTTTGGTGTAAGAGGAAAGAAAGAGGGGAAGAGAGGCCAATGCACTGGAGCTGTAAGGAGCAGCCTGTGAACCCAGCACCATTTTATGCTGCAAGCTTCATTATCAGATGGAATTTCTTAGTAACAGATCCTAAGTTCTTCAGTGAACTCAGATCAGCTTAGAAGCAGCTGAGTTGGTAGACAGGAGGGAGGAAAGACACATCCTGCTCCAGCCACAGCTCTTTCTCTTCATCAGCTCATCTAGAAGATTTAAACGATCATTATATGAGAAGAGAAATAAAAAGAAAATTAGTATGATAAAGATTTAAATAGCATTGGACATTGTTATCCGGTGACTGACTTGGGCATTTGTAAACTCTCCCCATCCAGCTTTCATCAGAGTAATGCTAGATTCAGACATTGAGTGCGAAGAGCAATTTTTAAGAAAAAAAAACCCAAACCCAAACTAATATTTGTCAGACACCTGCCCCCCACCCCCCGCCACTCCCTTCCAAAACAAAAAACTTACCTGCTTCTGGATCTGGAGGAATCCTCCACATATACAAATTGAAGTCATCAGAGCCCGAAAGGATGTACTGTTAGGAATAAAAATAGAAATAGTTTACCACAAAGTATCACCTGAATTATGTTATTTTACTGTTGATGTAGTAAAGTTGCTTCAAACCAAAAATGAGAAAAAAAGATAATTTGTATCATTCTTTGCACCTCACTGACCAACCTACCCTTAAATGGCGCTGAGGTACCAGCACAAAAATACTGCATACATATAAACGGACCAAACTTGAAAAGCATGCTTCACGTATCTAATGCCTACTGCCCAAAGTCTATGTTTTCTTTGCTAAATAAGGTTATGGATTTTGATTGGCTTTAATACAAGTGTGTCTAGATCAAACTCTCTTATCTTGCAGCCTGCAACTCTGGTCTTTTTTTAATGTCAAAGTCTTTTATCCTTTTTTATCATCTGAACTACCAAGGAAAACTCCATCAAACACATACCTAAGAAGAGAACTAGCATGTCCATTACACACAAGGACAACATGTCTGGCTCATCAGTCTACTAAGACCATCAAAAGTCAGTCACTGAGGATAATCTTGAACACTGAACAAAACCAAAGCTGAACACTCACTGTCAGCAAGTCTCAAGCGGTTTAAAAAACACTGCATTTATCATACTGTTCATTTTTTTCCTGGTTATAGTTACTCTGAAGAGATGGAAGGCTTCCCTTTTTCAACAATGCATGAACAATAAGCAATCTCTTTATTGTACAGAAGTTTAGGCAATGTGCAATTTTAAGTAGCTTAATATACTACAAACATGCACTGGCACGACAGTTGACATTTGACATGGCAAAAAGCTTATGCCTCTCAGTTACAAGAGGCCAAAAACTGTGCCTTGTCTCCAAACATCTCTTCTCCAATAAACTGTACATCCCATCATTTATTTATCTCCCAAATTAGAGATGAGATGACACGCAGTAGAACCAAGGGAGATTCCAATTCCAGTTACACTGGTATAGACAGTGTAAGTCTCTAGCCCTCAACTGACTTAAGGCTTCTGCTTAATCAATACAATCAAGAAGTTGGGTCTTTCATTATTGTTGTTATTATTATTATTATTAATAGAGAGAAGGGAGAAAAAGAAAGAAATGGAGCAAGTTTGTCCCTTTTCTAACCTTTGATAGGAGACAAATTCTGTTTTGTTTGGCTCAAATATCACTGGTTTCTGCCTTTCATTCTCCAGGGATACATAAACTCATCAGGCAAAGGAACATCAAGCAGCGAGGAGACAAGTCCTGGAATAACACAGGACTGAGAAGCAAATAAACAAAAAATATACACTAACATGGACAAAACTGCTATAAATTTGCATATATTCTGTTTGCAATGATAATTATGTTTGCGCAGTGTTTGGATGTTTCCAGCCACAAAAATGCACTAACCAACCACTAAAATCCCTTCTCTGGTTTCCTATTATCACAATCCAGACGTTCTTTTTTCTCTTATTTTTAAGGATGTAGGATGTGAGTAAGCACTTACGAATGCAATTCTGCCCATTTTCTGACAGATAAGAAGCACTGATGAAACAAAAGTTCCTTTAAAAACTTGTGCACACTAGTTCTGCATCACTCATAGACTCATCCTTTCCAAGCCAGAAAGTTACTTCTACAAGCCAGCATGTTCAAGCACTTAAGCAGCTTACCTCTGCCAGACTGACCTCATGGTGCCAGGAATATGTGCTTCCCTTTCATTTGACTGCTTATAAATGTTAGCGCACAGCAGGCTGAGCCACTGTGCCAAAACTACACAGATCAGGGCTCATACAGGCAGCCTCCCAGCAATCAGAAAGCAAGCACCTCTAATATGTTTTGTTACAGAAGAAATGCTACATGAAAAAAAAAAGTCTTGTTTAACATTATAGAGGTCTTGCCAATTGTTAGTATTTATTACCAAACTGTGTGGTTGAAGCAGCAACTGCTTTGCCTAGGACATGTAGAGAAAAACGGAGACTTCAAAAACAGCTAGAAAGCTTAGTATCTTGAATTTATGACCATAATGCCCTTTTTTTTTTTAAACCAAACAAGATCTAACAATGCTTCAATATGAGAGTCATTTAGCACTTTACATTGTAAATCAAATAAACCTACGAACAGCGACAGACTCCAAAGTGACAGATTTCAGATATCCTGCACCAGGCACACAACACAGAAAAAACACATTACATATGTGCAGGGAACGAAGTGTCTGTGAGACTCTTCAAGCCAGCTTCCAAATTGATTTGCAGAGGAACACACTGTGTATCCTGTAAGACTCAATGGCCAACTGTTTAGGAAATCTGGTGTATCATTGCCCACTGAACAAGAACATACTATCTGCAAAGACCACTGATCCGAGCATACTCTGTCCTGCTTTGGAGATAGCAAAATTTATAGTAGTCCTGCAGTGATGTGGACTAATGGCAATTTGACTGCACTATCTCTAGAGTAACCAGCAAGACAAGACAAGTGATTATTCCCCTTACCTGTCACTTCTGAGGCCAAACCTGGAGTATTGTGTCTGGTTTGGGTCCCCTAATACAAGAGTGACACTAATGAATACGACAGAGAGTGGAGGAGGGCTGTTGGGGCTGAAGGCACGTGACCTGTGAAGAAAAGCTAAGGGAACTGGCCTTATTTAGCCAAAAGAGAAAGTGAAGGGACAGAGTGGACTTCAACAGTCTCGCCCTGTCTGAAAGAATAGAGAGTAGCTGGGGACAGACTCTCCTCAGAGGCATGCAGTGGATGCTCAGGAAGAAACAGTCACAAGTCAAAGCAAGGGAAATTCTAGCTGAGCACAAAGGAACAGCATGTTCAGGAAGAGTGTAACAAACACGGCAACTTGGGCCCAGAATGGTGGCAGAATCTCTACCCTTGCAAATCCGAAATTTACCTGGACAATTCCCCAAGAAACCTGATCTGACTCTGAAGATGCTCTGCTCTGAGAAGTAGCTTAAGTCAGATGACCTCCATCCAGCACTCTCTTCTGATTCAATTTTTTCAAAGATTACCAAAGTGAAAAGGGAAATAATTGTCTTGGTGGATTTGGATTGGTTTTTAGGTTGGGGGGTGGGAAGTGGGGAGAGGTGGGCACTGTCAGGAAAATGCCCACCTGAAACCTTTACGCTCCATCACACATCATAGCTTCATGAAAACCCCAATGGGAAGACAAACTTAGGCCACATAGACAGAAGCATAAGCTGCAGTTCAGCACGTGGACTTGTATAAATTCAGGTGGTCACAATTTGGGGAATTTAAAGAAAGAAACTGGCAAGTATCTGAAAGTAGTTCACAGAATCATAGAATGGCTGAGGCTGGAAGGGACCTCTGGAGGTGATCTGGTCCAACCACCCTGCTCAAGCAAGGTGACCTAGAGCCAACTGCCCAGGACCATGTCCAGATGACTTCTCAATATCTCCAATGGAGAAGATGTTCAATCCAACTGTCTCCAAGGTAGTTCCTAGCTACTTAAAAGCACTATGAAGTCCTTCGCTTCACCACCATTTTCTAGCCCAATGACATTTGCACCCACCAAATACACTGGGCCAAAGTATTCTGGAATGAATTAAGAGAAAATAAGTAGCAATGAATAAAGCATCTGCACTGCAATTTATGTCTAGTCACAGAACAAAGCTCAGATCAGGATCTCAGCTGTTCTGAAGAAGTGTTTACGGGTTTAATCTTGCAACTGAGACAGCCATCAGTAAGTGCCAAAAGCATTAATTGATAAAGTAATCTACACAAGTTTGATGTTGTAAGCAAAGGGCCGTGAGTTGCAAACTTTTTATATAAATTTAAATTTTATTTCGCTAGTTAGCTCTGACAATAATTATCAGAAATAGATCATATTCCACAAAATATTCAAGTATTTGGTATCTCTGCCATTCCACTGCAGCCACTGTAGCAGCCAGCATTGTTTTCCACTCTCTTTC